GCCGGCAGACGCTGCTGACGGCAGGTTGTCGAATGCGGCAAGGCTGGGAATACAGTGTCGGGCCAGGGCAACCGGGTCAAGGGGGGCGAGAAGGCAGGGTGAAACCGAAGTGAGATGGGGATCGAGATCAAGATCCGGATCGAGGGAGGCGCCCTGACCGCGAGGCCATTTAGAAGCTGTCCTACCGACCGGCTTGTCGACGATATGAGTAGTCGTGAGGGGGTTTGAGGTGTCCGTTGAAGCTGCGGTCGGCGGAGAAGAAGCCGCCACACCGATCGGCCCTTCATCCCTCCATCCGGCCGCGGCGTCTTCGTCCACGATCGGATTCCGTGTTGTCGAGTGGGGAGCCGAGGGAGTTGCCGGCTTGTTGGCTTTGTCAGTCGAGCTGACGAGGCTGGTAACGCAGTCCTTGCACAAGGGCCCCGATGTTGTCTCTTTCAGCGAGTCATTGGTGGTACCTGCCAGGCCAGAGATGCTGCAGACAGCCGCGCTGGTTGTCGCGTTGCCACTGCCAGCGCTCACACCTTCGCTAGCACCAGCCGCGGTGTTGCCGGGGCAAGGTGGAGCATTGGCCAAATCGGCATGAAAGTCCGTGGCGTGGCTAGGACGAGTGGAGGCCAACTCAAGGCTCCTTCCATACAGAACCTCGCCGCAGTTGGTCGTGCTGTGCGAAAAAAAAGGAGGAAAAGAGGCGAGAATTTACGTCAAATGAGTCCTTATCAAAAACATACTATACGCGAAGAAAATTTTGGTTTCGAGGAAACCCACCTCGGCGTATAAGTGTGAGCTCATTTCCGTTTTACGCTAAAGTGTAAAATGAAGAGTTCTAAGGACGAAAATTAATGTTCTGCATGCGAATGGTGAGATGAAATTTCCTTTATTACAAATAGTCACGTCTCTCTCAGTCGTCCCTCTATTGTGGATCTTATCATTTTGTCCCCTGCTTACACAAACTTTAGACAGTTCCACTTCAATTCAACCACTATTTTGCTGGCAGTGGTTGTAGTTACGATCACACTTTCTAAACGAATCAAATTTCGTTTTGAATAGGTTTCCATGACCACCGGCAAATCAGATCTATGAGTTGTGTTTACGCTATTTAGTTTAAAGTGATGACGGTAGTTGAATTTTCACACAATCATATGAGATGAGCTGACGTTTCCATTCAATTTCACATAGCCGTGTTTTCCTAAAAGGTGTTC